CAGGTTTTGACTGAATGCCAGTGTTTTTGTTACACATATGACATTTTAATCAACTTCATCTTTGAATGCCTATTGGAGAAGGAATTTCCATGTGACCTGTCACTGGTTTTTAACAGCAAAAAAAAAAAGGAAGAATGAAATGATCTAGAAGCAAATTGCTAAGTTAGACAGAGTGTGGTGAAACTATAATGAGATGATCAAATTGGATGTTGTGAAGGAAATAAAAACATTTCTCCTGTAAGCGATTGGGTTCCTCCTGATGTTCTGTGACTTTCATACACCGTTAGGGGTAGGTAAATTGCTTAATCAGTGTCCCGTTATTGCTGCAAAACACACGATGCAAACGGCCTGCTCGTGATTCATTGAGTCCTCTGAAAAAAAATAAGGGTTTATTCAAATGCTTCAGCTCTGCCTTGTTAACCTCGTTAGCACTCGGAGAACGGCAAAGAGCTGAGAAAGAGCAGAGCTCGTTTTGCGAGCCCCCTGATTTACAGATCCCCCACGCAAGGACGCTATTTTGGGAACATTTATTACAGATGTCGGAATCCCAAGGCTTTAATCACCGCCTTGTTAATTAATACCCTATTTGTTACTGTCAGGGGTTGGATACTGGATGTGCAGAAGTCCACCTGTGAAAGTGCTTAATGTGATCAGGCAATACATCAGTGAGGTGCTGCTCAGCTGCCGGTCTGGGGGGATGTCGGGGGGTGCCAAAGAAAGCATGGCAGGAGAAAAAGAGAAGAAGAGAGAAGAGAAGAAAAGGTAAGATTATGAGTGAAGTTTTCTTTAGACTTGGATGATAAGGGGCTACCTCTCCAGCTGGGAATGCCGACTCTTTTTAGGTTGAAGAACAGTTGCTTTTCTACTGCCGTCGTTCCAGTGAGAAGGATACGCTGGAATATGAAGAGGAAAAATTAATACTGTTTTGTCCCAACAATAGCCTTTGATTTTGGTGGTTCTGATTTCTGGATGGATTATTCTAAAAAGCAAATAAGGGTAAAATAAGATTGTTTGCAGTGAAAAGCTGAGGTTATATTGCAATATTCTTAACAGGACTATGGCTTCAGGTCTCAGGCAATGAGACCATCAGGTAATGATGGTCACCAGTTCCCCACCTTCTGAAAAGGGAATGCATGGTTTTTATATGACTTGTATCATATTGTAATGGTGAGCCAGTGAATCTTTTACAAGCAATCGAGAAGGACTTGGTCTGTGCTATGAAAAGTCTTTTATCTCACTTTTAGAATCAAGCAATCATGTTACTGGAGTAACTTATTTACCCAAGGCTTAACCCGTTTCTGCTGACAAGTTCTTATTGCAAAAAAAAAAAAAAAAGGGAGTGAGAAGGAATTTTTTTCTTTCTATATGTGTTGGAATGTTCACATGGAATTCCATGGTGTCAAGGCAAAGTGATCTCCTGTGTTTTATTGTTGATGACAGGTTGAGAAAAGGAACAAAACTGGCTTGATAGAGGAATTAAATATTATTGAAAATCTTGAACTGAATTTTCCAAACTCTCAACTGTGACCCTCAGATGGAGTGTAGAAGCTGTATAAATTTTATTCATATGGGATGTAAACGAGTTCTGTGATGGTCAGTTTAGTGATACCAAGACTGGCTTTTGTGCTCTGGTTTTGTGAGGCTTGGCGAGTTAAATTTGGCTTTGGTTGGTCTTCAAAGTTGTAAAGGGGATAAAAAAGTTAAACTTGCTAGCTGTCATGATATGGCTGGTAGTTTTTGGAGAGTAAGAATGTGCATGAAATATACCTAAAGAACTTTTTTTTTTTTTTGGCGTTATACTACTTAGAAATAGTTAAACTGCATCTGAAAACTTACATTGTTTATGACTGCTTCAGCCTCATCTTATGTTCCATACAGCATTTATTTCTTTTATTTATTTCCCGTTCCAATTTTTAAAATCTGATTTAAAAAAGAAAAAAAAGAGTGAAATATGGTGGTCTAGACATCAGTGGGCAAAATACTGTGTATTTTTATGAAAAAAGTTAAAAACAAGATGACAGAGAAAGTGAGGATGGGGTCAGGTGAAGGGCCCCTGGCAAAAAATCAGAATTGGGAAGAAAGAATGGGCAGAGGTCTGGGGACAAGAGAAGCAAGAAATAAAGCAGCTTCCTGAGGAGGGGGGGGAAGATGGAAGCATAAAGGCACATGGGAGAAATAATGACTGGATGTCTTCCCTTTTCTTTTCAATTACCATCAGCATCTGTTACTGATAATTTCTGTGTTTTTGAAGAAGAGCTGGTATAGTAAGGGAGCCAGCCCACCAACATAGCCAGCAAAGGGAAAAGAAGAGAACAGGTTAGAAGAAAGGGAAATGCAGGGGTTTTTATATCTGATGGTAAACACTTTCATCCTTCCCTGCTGCTTGAATAATGCATCCTAATTTGACATGACTATACTGGTCACCAAGTTCATGCTAGGGTTATATAATCACAATCTGATCATTTTTCTTAAGTGCTGCTCAGCACAGAATCCTTTTATGTGGATAAAGGAAAGCAGCTCTTCTTTTCTTGTGATTTTTGGCTTGGGTTGATAGAAGTGTCAGCCAAGAATAAAAATACCTTTATAATCTTTAGCCTCTTTCCCTACAACACTTTTGAGTTGTATTATTATTTCTTCATTGTCCTTGTATCAGCTGAAAGAGAACCTGGTGTTTATGCCTCTGTTGGTTTAATAGTACATGGCTTTTGTTCAAGTTTACTCTCCAGAAAATGAGTGTGGTCTTCAGATTGTGCCTGACCATATGTGAATGGATCTGGGTTTTCTATTTGACCACCCTCTCCTCAGAGGCACTGAGCTGGAACACAGCCTCACTTCATTATTCCACTTCTGTGTCAAGTGTCTTGTGTGCCTGACAAGATCTGGATTTTCTGGGATTGTGTGAAAAATTCCAAAACTCAGTGATCACTTTTCTATCAAGTTAGGAACACCACCTGCCAGCGCCCCATCTATTCTTCATTTTCCAGTTCTCAAGTTGTCTCTGGAAGAAGTTGCAGGAGTCCTTAGAGATGTGTGTGTTAAGGGGAGAGGTTATATCCTCAAGGAGCATTATTTCTGTGTAGAGTTCCTGTGTAGAATAATCCTTTCTCAATACTGTGGGTTTGTTGGTTGGTTTTTTTCCCTTAATGTGGCCACCCCTATTGCAAGGAGAAACTCACTTCCTCAGAAAGTCCTTGCCAGTCCTTTTTCCCTATAAATGAAATGAGGTGCAGCCACCATGGTCCAAATTGCACTAGCAACCTTATCTCGAGGTTGAAGTGTGCCTGGCTCAGCACTTTTGGGGAGACTTTTAAGGTGAATGATGCTGCACCCAATAGTTGGTGTCATCCTCTTTAGGGACAGAATTGCTTTGGAAGGAGAGCTGAGCTCTTCTGAACTATATGCAATTTAGGCCCTCGCTACACTGTAGTTTTAAAAAAAGCCAACAAGCCCTTTTCAGATCCTAATTTGATTGACTGAAATCAGCTTGTGTGGACTGTGTTTCATACAGCTTGGCTGGTTGCAGGATAGCCTGCATTTAAGCTAGAATGGGTGGGATGAAGCACTCCTGGGAAGTTCCCTTGCCCTCTGATGATGGAGGGAATCTGGAAGGATAACTTCAGCTAAACACCAATTGACTGAGGTTACAAGAGATGGGTCTTACACGTTCTGTTTTCAGCTGTGGTGAAATATTGGTTGTGCTTTGGATGCTACTCATATGAGTGACCAGACACAGAAATCTTGTGTCTCGCTCTCCCTTGAAAGTACTGCCTGTCTGCTTTAGTCCATCCAAGATCAAAACAAGACTTTTATGTGAATTTTACATGGAGGATTAAAACTTTTCAGAAGAAAAACTACAGACTTATCTGTTATCAGACTGCTGTTTTGGCAGAAGAAATAGGTGAATAGTAAGTACTCACACAGCTGTAGAGCTATTATAAAAATACAAGATCAGCTTTATTTTGCTTGGATTTTACACATGCATTGTATTTAAATGCTCACTGCAGAGACAGCTGTTGATTTTTCACCGTAGGCTTGCTTGGTGGGGATTTTTTTGATTTTAAATTTTGCAACCAGCAGCAATGCACTGAATGGATTCTCTATTTCTGACAACAGTGTTACTATCTGTACTGGAAAACTATCCTTTCCTGGAAAACAGGGAAAATTGTGGAGGGCCTCTGCTTGTGCCTAGGAGTGGATATGTCCAATTAATACATTATTAACAAAAACACAAACAAAAAAACCAAACAAACAAAATCAAAACACTCACCAGGTAATGAACAGTTTTATATTTGGGGCTGGCTTTGGATGCTATGCAGCAAATAAAGGCACTGAGCAATTTGGATAATAGGAATTGCAAATAGATTTCCCTGGGCTGAGCCTCACAGAACTTTTGCGCTGAATCTGGCACTTCCAAATTTTTTCAATGTATGACTTTGCGTCCATAAGCTTTGCGGGATTTGTCTGAGTTTTTCAGTGTAACAGATGTTTAAAACTGATCCAGTGACATTTACCCTGGTGGGGCAGAGAAAAAGGTTAGTTGAGATTAATGTATTGTGTTGCTTTTCAAAGATTCAGGATATACTGTAATTTAATTTATAAATGGATATACTGTAAGATGACCAAAATTTTTTAGCCTTCAAAAGGAATTAAACCAGAGAGTAGCCTAAAGCCTGCAGTGAAAGTCTGGTTAACTCTTTTACAACATTTTGGTTTCTAACATGTAAAACACTTGACCCTTTATGATGTCTGTTTTCTTTAATGTGTGGTCTGGGACAAGACTGGAAGAGAAAGTCATGCTGTCTGTGAAGCTGAGAATGGCTACTTAGCATCCAAATATGTAATTAGGGAGCTTTCCATGCCTTTTTAATAAGTTGTAGTCATTAGTAAATTGCCAGTCTCCTTCCCCTCAAACGATTCAGTCTTTAAACTTGACTGGACTGGCCCAATTCCATGCAGAGCAGATGCTGTTTTGTCTCATTTTATTCCTTCCCTTTTGTTAGGGGCTTCAGCTGCAAGGTTTACCTACATGGACCCTGAAGAAAATTAATGCAAATTAACCAGAAGTATGAAAGTGGATTAAAATGCATTAAAGCTAAACTGCATGATCTCATATGGATGCTGTTACTCAAAATTACCAAGACTTTAATCTCATCAGGATTAATTGACCTCTAGTGTAAATCCAGGCAAACAAAATAAAAACATGTTGGCTCTGACTTAGAGTGCTTATAAATCAGTAATCACACTTAAATTAATTTTCTTAATTTAAAAACTGGTTGATTAATTGCAAAGGTATTACAAATGGACTTTAAAATTAGGTTGGTCGTATCGCATTTGGCTGGCATTTTAAGTTTTAAACTGGATCATTTATGCAGAATAATTTATTTAGCCAGAAAGTCTGCAGGTAGATGCCTACAACCTCTACAACCCCCCTGTGTTTTAAAGTACCCTGGGTAGAACCTTTTGCACACTTTAAATAAATTTGATCTGACATTAGCTTAGGGTCTTCTGTAAGGATGAGGAGTCAGAGTTTTTCCCTTACTGGTTTCTGATCCATATATGCTGAAAATACAACTGTGTCTAAGTTCACCATCTCCCCTCAGCACCATTGTTTGTTTCTCATGGGATTCTCCCAAGCAGATGAAACGTTGCAGCAACACAAAATCCTACCCTTACCTTAAGGTGCCTACAAGAAATGATTCACTCACCTTTCTATTTTCTTTTTTTTTTTTTTCCTTTTCTGTATTCATGTGTATGTTTGCACTGAGAAAGTTGGCAGTACTTTAAATTAATGGGCTACCGAGACCTTTAGTCATCCTCTCAGGATGTTCTAGATGGATGAACGGAAGCAATAATCTTGCTGTATCATTTTTTAATTTACTTCAGCAGATTTTTATTTTTTTTCCCCCCCCCGTCTCATTCCAAAAGTACAACTGAATCAGGTGCTATTGTATTTGGGAAATAAGGGAAAATAATAAGCTATCATTCTAGAGACAATTGTAAGAAACATCTTAAAAAAATACACTATGTAATAGGCCAAAGAAATATGCCAAAAATGCCAAAGCCACGAAGGACAAGTTGCATGGGACAATTTGGCTAATAATTCATATAGGCAATTTTTTGGTGTCAAACAGATGAATTACCGCTATATTCTTGTCCAGTGAGCCCAGCTGTGATATCCAAGGGATATGGGGATGATCTCATAAGTTAGCTAGGGCTGCCAAAGTTGTGGTTAAACTGGAGGCCGCCACACATGCATAGCAGAGAAAATGTACTTTTCTGATACTTGGAACCTCTGGCCAAAACATAGCTATCCTCTTGGATCCTGCAGGACCTGCTCCTTTTCCTTTAACAAAAACTTCTTTTAAGGTACTTAACCTGACAACCCTGGGTTTATTCAAAGAAGTTCGAGAGAGTGTGTGCATCTGAAGATACAGTGTGCTGGCACAGTTGCCACTTGGGTAGCTTGGATCATACTTTTCTCTCCCCCTTTTTTTTTTTTTTTTTTTCTTTTTAACTCTCATAGCATAAACATTAGTTTTTCATATAAGTCACCTTGGAAAACAATATCATGGTCGCTCTCATTGATTTCCACATGCTGGGTCAGGAGGTGACACTTCCATGAAAGGAAATAGATCCAAAACTATGATGATTTTCTTGGCTTCTTGGTTGTGCATTTTTGAAAGGGAAGAAACTCACTGATGCACCTGCATCCTAAAATCACCATCATAAGGAGATACTTTTTTCTGTATATATCGAAAGATGATAAGGGGCAGCTTAGAAAGCTTCATAAAGAAAACAATCTAACAAATGCTATTACACTTACTTGAACCAGAGCAGGTAAATTGAGTGCTGGTACAAAGGTGGCTTTGTATTTCCAGCTCCCTGGAAAATGTGGATGCCACATGACAGAACCACCAGTACAAACACAAGATTGTTGGAGAGCCAGCCTAGAAAGCATAGTTCAGGGATGTTACATAAAGCATAGTCTATAGTAAATCCTGTATCTTTGCCTAATCTAGTTGTCTCATTTTGCTGGCACTGTGCTATTATTACACATTTAATGACACATACTTAGATATTCCTGGCAGGTCCCAATGTATTATTGACAGAAGCTGTCCTGTGGACACAAAGAGTTTGGTCTTCTAGTTACTCCTTGTGGCTCTTGATTTGTCCTTGCAAGGGACAGTTTGGGAAGACCTGGAGTTTTTTCAAGAGGAAGGTTTTGATCGGCCCAGGAGCATGCAGTGAAATCAGATCACAGCATACTTCTCATCTGTCTTGACTCACCTCTGTCTGTGTTTAGCAGCTGCAAATGGGTTTAATGCTTGTAACCCAATGCATGTTCACTGGTCACAAAGTTATTGCGGCAGTGACTCTCAGTTGCTGAAAAGACAAGATGAATTTTAGACAGGTTTTCTGTCCCCTGAGCAGACTGACCCTGCTATCTCCTGTAAAGAAGTTGAGGAAGAAAGGCTAACAATTTCAGACCTTACAAAAATCAGACTTTTTATTGCATTTCTTAGAAGCTGTGGGGCTGACTTTGGGCTCCTCATTCTGCTCTTTAGGGGTTTTTTCTTTGCCATTACTGACCAGTGAAATCTCTTGGTCGATCTTGTCTAGGTGCTTTGTACTTACTTTGAAATAAAAAAAATTATTCATATTTACAATTCATCCTTAACCTGCAGAATAGTATGTCCTGGCCTCTTAACACCTCACCTCAGTGTGAATTCTTACCCTCAGAAGAGGGAAATGGCAACCCATCCATGCCAGTCTCAGTGCCTTTCGTTCAGGTTCCTTTGGGTGTCATCTTGGCAACCACAAAACGAAAGGGAAGGCCTGCACGGAAATATGGTTGTTTTTATAACCCACCTAAACCTGCCAGAAGATCGAGCAAAGCCATTTTTCTGTCATGTATTTGTCTGGCACATATTTGTCGATGAAATTCCTCTCCAGGCACGTGAAAATAGAGTTGTTACTGTGCGTGACAGTTTGTGCCGCTCAGGACGAAATATGGCTTTGTTGGCTTGTTTTTCTCTGGAGGTGATTTCAAATACAATGGACAACTGAGAGAGGAAAAGCCAGTGATTGCACCCATGGGCTGGATAGCAGAGTTCTGCCACTTGGGCAGTTTACAGTAATTCAGTAGTGTTTATGACGATAAGAAAGCAATTTGGTGAAAGTGAGGTAAAACAGCTAATACAGAGCAAGATAAAACTGCAGTTAATTCAACCATCAGGAAACTGACCACTGAAAAAATGTTCCTGATATGTCATTTTGAGTCAGTCCAGGCTGTGATTCTACTCAATCTGCTCCTTGTTTAAGTCTCGGTGCTAAAAAGACCATTTGTCAGGGTGTCACTCAAACAAACTTCATGCAACAGATACAAAGCAACCATAGTACGTTACTGTGGTGTAGCAACACACACAGAGGCCTTTGCCAGTGAAGTTTTTTCTTATACTGTTTGTATTTCATCAACCTTTCCAAAAGATAAAGATGTGATGCTGGTGGGAAACAAAGTCCAGTAGTCCGATGGTGTTTATCAACTGCTTAGAGCCAGAATCGTATGAGAAGTCAAGCTCAGAGTGAGTAAAGACAATAAACAGAAAGATGGCTGTGCTGGCACCTATTTGCATGTTATTCCAAGTTGCTGACAGGCTGGGATATAGCCTGTGCACACACAAATATGCTTTTGCCCTCACGTTTTTTGCCAGGCATTCTCTCTGTTGAGCAGCAGGCACAAACGTCCAACAACAACAACAACAAAAAAAGGCAACTCAGGAGAATAATGTGTACCAGAATACTGCATGACAGGACTTACTGATTTTCCTCATGCATCATCAGCACATAGAGAATATTAATCTAAGAATTTCTAGTGGTTCAGCCATCAAGCAAATGCTTCCATTTTAGATAACAAATTGAATAGAACTACGACAAACAGTCCTTTAAAAACTGGTCTTCAAGACTAAATTCTGAGGGGGTTTCCACTTCAGAAGTATTCACACTGCCACCACTAGAACTATTACATAAACATTCACAGCTGTGAATAAGTGTTTCAGAACATGATTCATAACTAGCATTAAAAAAAAAAAAATTATCATTTTGGAAAACAGGACAGTCTATGAGAAGTCCACCAGTAATAAAAGAGAATTTCCTCTATTTTATCACTAGAGAAAATTGAACTGACAGAGAAATAACTGTCTGTTACTGGAACTGGATATGTGATGTTCTGAGAAGAGAGAAAAGGCATGTTATGATGTTAGGTAATTTCTCAGCTAAAACCTGGGCTGTAAGTCTGTCAAGTTTCTAGAATTTAAGTCGAGTAACAGTAACAATTACAGGTAATATATTTATTAGTAAAAAGGCTCCCTTAAACTGTAGACCAGGAGTTGAATTTTCCCACTGCTTCATAAGCACACTCAGATCGTGCAGTTTCTGCCACTTCGTATCCCACTACAAAGCTACCGAGCAATGGCCTTACTATTGAAATTTCCCCTTTAAGTTTCAGATTCTCTTAGTTTTCATCTGCTGACTACATGGAGGAGCACATCAGGGAGGGGTTATTGTTTGGTTTTGTTTTTTTTTTTTTAAAGGCACAGAATATAACAAGTGAACAAACCATTTCAAAGACACTGTCAGATGGGTGCTACTTGAAACATGAAATCAGCCCAGTGGATTTCTAATAAGGAGACCAATTTAGGATGGTCTGAGCGAGGACTGTTGAAGGAATACAAAACCACAAGCCAAGATTCCTTCTAAAATCTCAGCTCTGACATCAACTGCACAATTAAAAGCCACTGTGCGTTTTGGTGGGTTTCATTTTGCCTGTTTTTTGATGTCTAAATATCCAAGTGAAATCTCCCAGCAGGGCTTCCTGTGCAGCATCATAACAGATGGTAGAGCAGGCAGAGTGAACCCCTCTTTGGGAGTGCTGTGAGAGCTATGGAAGTGCCCTGGGCCTCCTGCTGGCACGAGGCAAGTGATTTCAACACTCACTTCAGGTTAGAAACCTCTCTTCACATGACATTTTCAGAGCGGAATCCTACCTCTTGAGGTGTAA